TGTATGTTGTCCGACCCGACCTCAAACTCTTTCCTTTCTCATTTCCACGAAAATTTCTACTTACGAATCAGAGTGGAGATTTCTCGAGATGAATTTTTTTTATGAGATTTCACCTTTTAAATAATTTTAAACCCATAATTTCTACTAAAATATATAAAAATACAATATTATGTTTATATAATTTTTTAAAATTAAAATTCAATATTACATAGTTTTCAATATTTTTTAAAAATATATTATTTATTTATTAAAATTAGGCAGGACGATAATTAAGAAAGGGTTGGGGACAAGATTAGAAACCGAGAAGTAATCTCTATCTGTAGTCCCGTTTTACTAACGGGGACTTCATTCTCTACCGATTAAATGGACGGACATCTCTAATAAATATATAATTGAATATATATTTTAAATGCCTTTAATTAAGAAGTAAGACAATAATAATAAATAAATAATTAATTAATTAATGATGTGACAATATATGTATTTTAAAATCCATTCTCTAATTCGTAGCTTGTATTTTGATGAGTCCCAATGTTGTTCTTGGGAAAATGACCAAACAATGAACCATACACAATTATTTAGTGCTCTATCCATTGTGAATGTCTTGCTTTAAATTCTATTCATTCATGTTTTTTTGTGTTAATTTTATTATTTTATTATTAGAACTAGCCTCGATCCTGTGGTTCGTCACTGCAACGTTATCATCTGTGCAGAAGTGCTTACTTAAAAAATAAGAGTAGCACGTGACTTGAGTATTTTAATAAATATTCAGTAATGGACCCATCACCGAGGTCAGAAAATGCAATCACATGCAATCATGTTTATGATCTATCGTTTCACAAAAATATCATAACATGGTCTTAGTCTCTACTTCCCGTTCGGACAGAATTAGATGTGTAGTATATCTCTACACACGATTACGAATACGTACATGGATCCTCAAGCGAGCTCGTATACGTACTCCTAAGACTTGACCTTCAACTAGCATACACTCATATTGCCCCGATATACTATGGAGGGAAGGAAGTGCACATAGTATTGTGGTGTACACAATATTATATCATAACATCGTAGTGTACGCATGCGTACTAATCATATATGATGGAGGTTTGATTTGCATCATAACATTATGTCATGATTTTAAGCTTTCGGGACCTCATGCAAATGTGTGTCATATGCATCGAGTTATTTTTCCGTTATTATTAGTATGAATGCGAACTTTACGATATTTATGTTCACCATGATATTATTCGAGCTCTTTCCCTCCATGGTATTTGGTAGCATGAATGTGCACTAGCCCGACGAGCCAAACTCAATGGGTACGTATACAAGTCCGTTTGGTGGATCCATGTGCGCGTGCTACCATGTGTAGGAAAGTACTACACATCGAATCCTGCTTGGATCATAAAGCGGAGACTAAGACTATGCCACGATGTTTTTACGAAATAAGTCCCATCATATTACATGTGTTTGTATTTACTAACCCCCGAGTTATTTAAAATACTCTTAATTAATAATTTTTTAAAGAGAACTTTAAGAAAAAGTAATTTTACTTTATAAGTAAATATATTTTTTTTAAAAGTCATCTAGAAAGCGAAATAAATAAGATTGGTCGTGGAAAAGTTGGGGCAAAAACGTAATAATAGGAGATGTAGGAGGGTAATATAGTCAAAAGGTTGAAAAAAGAGAGGGTAGTGGAGGGTATTGAGTGCCCTTCGCAAGGGCTGTCCACGCTGGCTAAACTCACATGGGAAGTGTACGGACAGCCGACTTGTGAAAGATAGGACCTTTGATCAACATGAAAGCAAATAGTGTAATTAATTAAAGGCATCATCATATCATATAGTATAAAGTTATAGCCCCTAACTTTTTGTTCGAGTTCATGTATTTAATCTTGTTTCGATCTGAATTTGTATAGTTTATCTTTACGTGGATAAGGAAGAGTTTTGATGATACGTGTTAGTGTATAATTGAAAATATAGTTTAAAAACGGTGGAGTTTACTCGACCCATCTCCTGAGACATGATCATATAAGTAATGAAAAAGAAAACGTTATGAGTAGGACCATATACTCGAGATGTTCGAGTTTCGCTTCTCTGGAGAAGATGAGATATATGAAAGTGACGATCTCCATTCAGGGTCGGGGATTGAGAATTTTTTTAATAACGTTTTAGGCCCACAATTTGAAATTCAGACTCGACACCTATTGACTACGACGTTCCTCTGCATTGTGGTCCTAAAATGGTATTAAAAAATCTGAATGAAATTAGGTAGATTAACATTCGTAGTGAGGACCGAAATATGATGATATGGGACTTCAAAGGTGGAGTGGACTTCTAGAGTGAGGTTAGACTAACGCCTAGAGTATTTAGTAACTTTGGCTTAGACCAACTAAATAAGTGTACTTACGGTTGGAACACCGCACGGCTAGGTTAGATGAATTGAGTGTTATATGAATGACACGTATCAAGTGGTCTATTTACATGACGTTTTCTGATGTTATGGTATGGTATGTTGATGAGTCATGTACGATAATAACGAAAGATATGACATGTACATGTATACACGTTTCATAGGAAAGTTGTGTCATGAAAAGAATGGAAGTATGATGTGTATCGTAACCATATACCATGATTTGAAAGTACAAGACCTCATGTTGGTTGTATCTTGTAATATTTCTTTAGAATGTTTTGCATAGACCCGTACACCAAGATGTGATACGTGTTTTTTTTCTTTCATTAATTCGACAATACGAGCATGTTTTAGCCTGTAGTAAAGCCTAGGGGTACGTATACAAGGCCACCTGGTAGATTCATCTGCTTGTGCTTGAGTCGTGTGTAGAAAAGTACTATGCATCTAACCCTACCTGAAAAGAGAGCAGGCCCAATAAATAATCATAAAAAGTAGGTCTCACCATGAAACATGTTGCATATGATTGCATTTCTCTGACCCGAACAGTGAGGTCACTTACGGAGTACTTTTAAATACTCAACCTATGTTTCACCTGTTTCTAGGTAAAGGCAAGAGTCTCATATACAAACGACGAGAAGGCCATGGAACCTAGATCAGATAATTCTCTAGTACCATCGATACAATAAATGCATCTCAAGTGATTAGCCGGGAACAGGACTCGAACCAAACAGTAGAGAGTCGAACACTTAAAACTATATTTTTAAACTTTCTTAAATAAAAGTAGCTTTTAATTTTATTTGTATATAAAAAATAAAAAGAAAATATAGCTTTTTTAGTTGAGAGAACATGGCAAAGACTTTATTGAAAATCTCTTTTTGAAAAAAAAAAAAAAAAGGTGAAATGATTTTGTCAAAGTTCATATGATTAAGAAGGGATGGCTAAGTGCTTTTGGTTCATACAAATTTAAAGAACAAAATATGATTCCACTAACTAAATATATTACTTTTGGCTAAGAGATTGGTGTTCTTTTTTTTATTTCAACTTTTTATTAGGCGTGATGAATATTCATCACTATATCATATCATATAATAATAATAATAATAATAATAATAATAATAACCGAGTGAATCTAAAGTTTTAAATATAATGATTTTTGTTACGGCCTTCGGGGCCAGCGTCCTCGCTGACACTTGTTCCTTTTTTTCAAGAGATGTGGAACTCCTATCGAATCTACCTCCCTTCGAGACCCAACTTCCTTACAGCCACACTGCCTCGTGTCTACCCCCTTTGGGTTTAGGGTTCGTCTACCGAATTCACCCCCTTTGGGGCCCAGCTTCCTTATTGGCACACTGCCTTGTGTCTACTCCCTTTAGGGAAGAGTCTCCTTGCCTATCGAATTCACTTCCTTCGAGACCCAGCTTCCTTACTGGCGCACCACCTCGTGTCTACCCCATTTGGGGAAGAGCCTCCTCGCCTACCGAATCCATCCTCCTCGGGGCCCAGCTTCCTTACTGGCACACCGCCTCGTGTCTACTCCCTTCGGGGAAGAGCCTCCTCGCCTACTGAATCCACCCTCCTTTGGGGCCCAGCTTCCTTACTGGCATACTGCCTCGTGTCTACCCCCTTCAGGAAAGAGCCTCCTCGCTAACACATTATCCGGTGTCTAGCTCTGATACCATTTTTAACATTCCAGGCCTCAGTAGATATTGTCCTCTTTGGACTTTCCCTTTCGAGCTTCCTCTCAAAGCTTTAAAACTCATCTGGTAGGAAAAGATTTCCACACCCTTACAATAATGGTGTTTCGTTCTTCTCCCCAACCAATATGTAACTCTCACAATTTTTCTCAATGGGTGCTTTCCTCAAAATTTGATTTTTTTTTTCAATCAAATTTTTTCTTATATTGTTTTTATTATAAAAATTAATATTTGTAAGCGTTAGATTGAACATCGTGTATATTCAGTCCTTCTGTAAAAAAAAATCAATTTAATCGTATAAATTTAAATTATAGATTAATGAATTGTTGACATGACACTTGGATAAAATATTTTTGCAGCAATGCGATTTTTTTAACGAGTTAACGATCTGTGTGAGTAGGAAATCTAACCTTTGACCTTTTTACCCTCGTTGCTTTGTAACGCCTTCACTTTGAGCTATGTAAACTTAGGTGCGATATGAAATGAAAAAGTAACACAGTGAGCATAAAAATATTCAATAAGTAGTTCCACGTGTAGAGCCATGTTGATTTTATTCAATAATAAAATCATGGGTGCTACTTAATACTCACGGGGCCATTGATTTAGTTCTCTATCAAACATGCTAAGATACCTATCTAAGCTAGCTATAAACGACTCGTTATTAGAGATGAGTTGGCGACCATCTAAATTCTCATCATAGTATTATCATAACATCAAGAGGCTCATACACAATTGTGACATAGTGAGTAGGAAATAACAGGTTGGAACCATAGATAATTAAGCACATATGTGACACTCGAGTAAAAGAGTGGTACATGAATGAACCGAGATCACATTTGAATGAAAGCGATGTTGTGAGATCCCACATCGGTTGGAGAGGGGAATGAAGCATCTCTTATAAGGGTGTGGAAACCTCTTCCTAACAGACACGTTTTAAAATTGTGAGACTGACGATGATACGTAAAAGGCCAAAGTAGATAATATCTACTAGTGGTTGGCTTGGGCTGTTGCAAATATTATCAGAGCCAAACACCAAGCTACGTGTCAGCGAGAACGCTTGCGATTATGAGACCTCACATCGATTGGAGAGGAGAACGAATCATGAAGGGTGTGGAAACCTCTCCCTAACATACATCGTAGTGAGTATGAGTTGTTGCATACAAAATTGAAGGTTTTAGAACTCAGTATCCAATTTTTAAATTTTTGCAATCTACCGAACATAGAATTTTAAGTAAAAAACTACATACATACATACAACGTAAAAATCAGAGGGTAAATTTGTAATTTAATCGCTAGAAGTAATATATTCCCCTCTTTAAATTTATAAAACATGTCTACTTTTAGTTTTAATGTTTAAAATATATTTTTGGCTTCTAATGCTTATCTTTATTTAAAATGTGCTCTAAAAGTTTAAAAATAAAAAAAGTTGAATTAAATAATTAATAAGGAAATAACATATGTTCTATTAATTTAACATTTTATATTATATTATATAGTCACTTCTCCATCATTTAAGAAAAGATATGGTATGATCACTAGTTTAATACTTAGATGAAGCAATCAACCAAATGAGGAATCTTTGGAATATTAAATAAAATCTTATGCTAAAAATAAGTATTATATATAATCTATATATCCTAATATTAACATTAATGTCAAATCGTCCATTATATCGAGATACGAAAAAATGTGTAAAAACCTTACACGTTTTAAAGCCTTGAGGGGAAGCTAGAATGGGAAAGTTTCGGGCAGCCCAAAGATAACAATGTCCGCTAGCGATGGACTTGGGCCGTTACTGTTATTTCGTCGTTATTGTTGTAGTTATTATTATTTCTAAAAAAAATTGTATCGTAATTATTATTATTTAATCATTTTGAGTGGTTAAAAGTATAAATTTAATTTTTTTAATAAAAGAGGATATTGAATTTGAATTTTTCGATATTATATTGAATATTTAGACTAAATTTATAAAAATATTTGTAAATTTTGTACTATTAATAATACTTTAAACTAAAATATTTGCAATGGTAAGTAATTTGTGGAAAAAATACTCTTAAACTTTAAAAAAATTTATTAATACCAATAAAATTTTAAAAGCGACATTAACATCATTTTACGGTATAAAAAAAGTTAAAAAAGTTTTTACTGTTAATATATGAACGAAAACGGTCTCTTGACACCTCATAAACAATCTCCAAAACGTATGTAATGTTACTTTTGAAAGTTCATGAATATTTTTAAGACATGATCAGTAGAGATACTTTTAAATATTTTTAAATAAAATATTAACGATTTTCATCTAAAATTAATCATTATATTTTTTAATTTATTAAAATTTTAAGGGTATTAATAAATTTTTTAATAATTTATGATGGAACATTACTTAGGAATGATATAATAATAGTAAAAATAAAAAATAATAATAAAAAGGAGAGCGTGCACGTAAGCAGCCGAGATTCCGCCCGGTTTACCGGAATCCCAATTCCCTAAGCTACCAACCATCCTTCACTATATAACACTAAACAACTAAACCATTCCTTTACCTTTTTGTTTTCTTTTGCTTTTTAATTCAACTTTGAAATGTGGTTTTATCCAAACTTACCTAACCATTTGAGTTAAAAGGTTAAGCGTTTTTCGATTCCGAAAGTTAATAATAGAATATGGGTCTCGAAGAATCGAAGAATTATTGATGAATGTACTAAACCGAAAACCCAACATTACTATTACAGGAGTAGAAACCCCTTGTGGATAATCTAATGTTCGGGACAATGAAAGGGAAACTATTGAATTAACTGAAAAGGTAGGTAAAAGGGAAACTAAGTACGGAAAGAAATGGCACGTGTCGGTTGACCTCTATAAACGATTTAAGCTAAAATTTTCTATTTGAACTATAATTTTGTTCGGTTGACAATGAAAGGGCAACTATTGAACTACTAGCATCTCATGCTCATCTCTAATGCGGAAATATAACTCTTACATGAATATCATTTATAACTTAAACTTCGAAAGATGCTTAAAGCAACTTTTTCTCTTTAAAACACAACCATTGTCTTACATGTTTAAATACGAAATGCTGAAATTTAGAGAAAATAAAAACAAATGCAAAATAATTTAAAACAATCAAATGCAAAACAAACTATTCTAACTTAAGATTAGGAATTTAAATGAGTCTACTGTATGCACGTGCCACAATCTCTGCTCGTGATGCCGCCGTCCTCCGTACAAGTGCGTCTTGCCTTTACCTGAAAAATGATGTAGCATACGGCTTGAGTATTTCAAAGAATACTCATAAGTGGCCCCACTATAGAGGCCATGCAAATGCAAACATATGCCGTCATGATTTAGGACCTATCTCTAATCATCATAAGGGTGGCCTCCAGTCTCGGACAAATTGGATGTGTAATACTTCCCTACACATGACTCATCATAAGGGTGGCCTCCAGTCTCGAACAAAAAAAACATGGCACGTGTCGAATGACCTCTACAAACAATTTGAGCTAAAATTGATTATTGTTGCTATCCAGTTCGAATTATAATTTTGACCTCCGTTTGTTAGTTTTCCATCTCGATTTCAATGTTAATCCTAATTTTGTCGGAATTTGGTTCTTCTAGAAAATTTTCAAAAATTTTCTTGATTTTTCTTGGAGTAATGGAACTTGGGACAACACGTGACAATCATGTAAGTAACCACATGGATTTTACGCTAATAATTCTCGTAGCTATCACTTAGATATGCATGTTCAAAGCTTATATGGTCCGTTAAGCTTTTGTTTAGTCACACTCGAGGTAGGTATACAAAACTGTACCATGAATGATGTATGAACTATTTATTACTTCTTTGTACATAATTATGTGGAAAAGGAGGATGAAAAATTTGTGATTTGCGCTTCGAGTGCTTGATAGATGTTATCGCTCCATTGAACATGTGTAACAGTATACATGATTATTGTACATTAACTCCAAGCGATTGAACGTGTGATCTCTTTTAGAGTGGAAGTAGCCGTAACAGAATAAAATTGTACAACTAGAGTCGGTTTGGCTAGACTATGACCTAGGATGGAACACTTCCAGAAGTTTGAGCATACATGTCTTCAATGCATAGTTTTTAGTCTCGATCTAGTTTTCTCAAAGCTTCAAAATTTAGGTCGTGACATCGAGAGTCCCAACATAATACATCATAACGTGTCATGGTATCAATCAATATACAAATTAATGTTTAAAACAAACTCTAAGCCCACGTGTCATACTTCGGTTCATAAATAATTATTAGGACATAGAAAAACATTAGATCTTGTGTAATAAATCATGTCTCATGCCTACAATTTTGACTAGTCATCAATTTTTTATTTCATAATCTTTTATTATTATTATTTAATTTCAAAGCTTGGTTATTGACTTATTACATCGATATAGGTAATGGCTATAAAATTAAATAATTAAGACTTTAATGTTAGAGGCTATGTTTTAATATATAGTTTTTGGGACATATTTCAAAAGCTTAATGCAATGAACTTGATGTGACACCTAGAACACGCTTCATCATTATATTTGATTTGTGTTAGTTGAAAGCCTTTTGTGGACCTTATTCTATACACCTAGGGGCACATTAATTTTTCCTTTTAAAAAACTTTATATTATAAGAAATTAAAATCGTATCGAAGGTGGATGATTTATGTAACACGTTTAAGATAATTTGACTTATTATGGATGGATGTCATTTTTGGATAAGAACTAGTGTGAACAAAGATTGAGCTCGTAGACCTAAAAATGTGAAGAACTGCTCTCCTCGAGTTCTCCTTGTATAGTTAATGGTTATTCTTGATTCTTGTTGTGTTGATTCATCTTGATGAGTGCTGTGATTTTAGTAAAAGAATCATTGAATATTGGAAAAAGAAAATAGAAACGAAAAGAAAGTTGTCACTTGTAGGTGAGATTTATGGAGATAGAGACGCACGTATGTGCATTAGGAGGTTATATATAAACCGATTCAACCAGCTCGATCAAACTAGTTGATTCGATTGGACCAATCCACTTGGTTGGTTTGTCCTATTTTGGTCGATTTAACCTTTTTTAGTGAGAATCCCACGTTGGTTGGAGAGGAGAATAAAACACTCTTTATAAGGGTGTGGAAAACTTTCCCTATTAAACGCGTTTTAAAAACCTTGAGTGGAAGCTCGAAATAAAAGCCTAAAAAGGACAATATCTGCTAGCAGTGGACTTGGGCCTTTACAAATGGTATCAGAGCCAGACACAGGGCAATGTGCCAGCGAGGTGGCAGTTTTTCGAAGGGGGGTAGACACGAGGTGGTGTGCCAGTAAGGACGTTGGGCCCCGAAGGGTGGTGAATTTGGTGGGGGTCCCACATCAATTGGAGAAAGAAACGAGTGCTAGCAAGGACGCTGAGCCCTGAATGGGGGTGGATTGTGAGAATCTCATATTGGTCGAGGAGGAAAACAAAACACCGTGCGGAAACCTTTCTAGCAGACACACGCAATAGCACGAAGTACAAATTGTGATATTGTTTTGAAGTCTAAATTGTATGAAAGTGTACAAAAGAAGGTGCGAAAGTAAAGTATGTTAAAGTTTTGTGTATTTTAACAATAACCAGTAAAGTCACTCGTTGCATGATATGTAATTTGACCAAGGTAGTGCCATAATAGCTACAAGGTCAATCCTCGCGTGATATGTGAATTGACGAGGGTAGTACACAAATCGTTGCAAATGTCACTTCTTGCATGATACACAAATTGACTAGGTCCGTGCCCTAATAGTTTTAAGGTCACTTCTTGCGTGGTATGTGGATTGACTAAGGAAGTGCCCTAATAGTATGCGAGTTGACCAAAAGTAGTGCTCTAATAGTTGGAAGACCACTCATGGTATAATATGCGCACGGACTAGAGGTGTCCTAATAGTTGAAATGTCCCTCCTTGCACGATATGCAAATTGACTAAGGTAATGACATGTGACTTAATTGGGTCAATGCCCTAATAACAAAAATACGAACTTTAATATGGAGTTAAGCTTAGAAGAGATAGCAACATGACCTTAAATATAGAGTTAAGCTTAGAGGAGCGAACGATATTTTCTTAAGTAAAGAGTTAAGTTCGATCAGTTAAGCTAATTGAAATGACAATAAAAGCACTCTCTAAGATAAATTCAGAGAAGACAAAAGGCGGGGCAATCATAAGTTCGAGTCATGTAAAATTCTACCATAAGTAAGAGATACGTTATCTAGCGAAAAACGTTATCGTAGATTTTTTATAGCGTTTTTCATACGTCCTGATAGCCGACACTATTAAAAGTTTGAAACTTTTACTATAAGGAATACTATAATAGAGTACGATGACATAACTTATATAAGAAAAAACCTTGCATCATACATCATTGATATTATGATATAGTTGCACAACATGGCATAATCATATTGTAACACAACATATAGCATGACGTAACTGTGACATCCTAGTAATGGAGTGATACAAGAATGAACTGAAACAACATCCGAATAAGAGCGATCGTAAGGATAAGATGACTTGAAAACCACTACCTATACCATCGAGGTGCACCTTTATTTTCGGTGGCTCAATTATAGAAGCAATTCTATGTTGGGTGACTTCTTACGAGTTTTCTTGAGATGCATATGAGTGAAGACAAATTATACTAGAAAGACTCGTGTTGGTCTGTGAGAATCGTCTTCACTTTTAAGAAACGAGAAATATGTAATGTGACTATATTATAGGGGATGGCAGGAGAATATTAAAGCCATCAGGTATCAAACCCAGATGTGGTAGAATTGATTTTTGGTCAATATACGAGTACGGGTAACAGCAAGAGATCGTTTGCTCGGAAGTAAAATAGAATAAATTTAAATGGACATAAATTAAAATGGTATTTTAACTATAAAAAATAAAAAAATAAAATAAATACAAAGGGATTGGGTGGGGCCATGCCACGTAATGGACACGCAAAGCCACGTGCAAATGCATAATTTTCGTCAATTTTTGTAATAAATTAATTAATAATTATGAATCGAAATTTTATTAATTAGAAAAGTTGGGTGCTTGAGAGATTCTATTTCCACTAGAACATTAATGTATTTTTATTTATTAGATTATTTTACTTTTATGTATTATAAAATATGTATATTTTTATAATTTTAATAAATTATATTTTTATATTTTTTTTTTTAGTATTTTGATATATATTAATATACCTAGCTTTTAGAAAAAAAAAACTCTAGTTGCAACCGTAAGAGTTAACCTTGGCTCGATTCTCGTTGTTGTAGTGAGTCTCCATCTCATCTGACTCTTTTTTGTCCACGTTATTATCCTTGATCACTTACCATTGAATGTCTTACAAGATCGATTGTGTATCTCCATTAGTCGCGCCATCATCCTAGCATTCACGACATTATTTCCACGATTGATTGCAATAGGATCTTCACCTGATTCCTTACTATTCTCCGTCGTTTTTTTTTTTTTTTTTTTTTTT